CCGCAACTGCTCCACCCGAGACACGGCGTTGCACACCGGTGAGGATGTAACTGATAACGTAATAGCTGGTCAGAGAGAGCAAGGGCTGCACCGGCTGCTGGCATGTAGAAGCGTGATATAAACAGGGGAATGGAAAGGGAAGGCAATTATCGCGTCCTGGGGGATGTCGGGGAACATTTCAACCTGTCATCTGTAAAATTACTGAGACTAGGGTAGGGAGTATCAACGCTGAACCTGCCTAGCCTCGAATGACAGCGTTTAGCTATTTGATTAAAAATTCCGTACTTAACCTGGTCGCTTTGATCACTTCTTTCTCAATTTTCTATTTAACGCTAGAACTACCAACCCAGTCAACATGACTGTTCCTAAAATTTTCCCTTTTGCAACCACCGAACACGTGCAGCTGCTTTAAGAATAAAATTGGTATCAACTCACATTAAGAAAGAACTGTAATCAATATATTCACTCGTATTCTTTGTACCGCTGAAATTACTATAATCTGTGCACGTTATAGTTAGGTACCCATTAAAGATCGGTACTTCTAGTGTTAATGGCCATGACTTGCGATTCTTGTTATGATAAAATTCAATAGTCAAGCAAACTCTACATTCCAGCGGTGTGGGGGCGATCCCTTCCCCCAATGTTCTGTCTTTTGTCACTAGTCTTTTGTCACCAGTCTTCTGAAGACGACTTTTGACCTGCGAGGCCCTGAACAGGCCAGTTCTAACCATTCGCCCGTTCAATAGAGATCTACACAGTTTTTCCACAGTTTTCACTGACTACTATTCCTTGCGCAATAACCCATTTAACAATTCTAATTATTTCCTGGCATCCCCAAACGCGCTAGGGACTAGGACAATCCTAGGGATATTTGACAACGCGTATATATTTCCAATCATAGACGTGGCAAATGAAAGACGTAGAAAGGAAACCAAGAAGAGTCTGGAAACAAATCAGATTCCAAGGAGGAACAGCGATCGAAGGATAAACTATCGACGCGTATAGCTTTGACAGACTGACCTGAAATCCTCGAAGGAAGAACAAAGAGTAGCGAGCTTAGCATTGAAACTCACGGATACTAATCAGGGTGATACCAGTTAGGTAACCTCGGAGATAGTAGTAATGGGAAGCATTGGTGAGACAATGCGAGCAGACCTTGAACGCGTTTCGAAGTGGTGACTACGACGTTCGTGAACGCGTGAACCGTGTCACGAGACTTGTACAGGTGGGTGACGTGTAAAGATGCAAGAAGAAACGTGCGAGTTTTTCGAAAGCGTTCAGATGTCCTAGAAAAATGGATCGGTCCGAGGGATCGGGTGTGAAAATGAGGGAGGGGAAAAATCGAGGAAGGGGAGAGACGAGAGATAGGATCGGTACAAAGAAAACGGATACGGAGCTGGCATTCGATGTCTCGAGGTCGTTCGATGTTTTCTAAGGATAGGGAAAAAATAGAAAAAGAACGGAGAACCGTTAATTGCACAACTTTTAGGCAATTCCCTGCTCCGCGAGGAACGCTCGATACTCGTAGACGAGGAACGAGTCACCGAATCCACCTGTCACTGGCTATCCGCAGGATCGTCAACAGCCATTATTTAATTCGGAGAAAGAAACGGGTATTACGTAAAACGGGCCATTTTCAACTCTCTGTCGCGTCTAAGTATATCATAAATATTGTCACAATTACCGTCGCCGTGATTAATCATGCTGATAACTTCTTGCCTTAATTAATTCTTCCCATCGATCGAAACTGTCAGATCAATATGCAAGATAATTAACCGAAACGTTTTCTACAGGTTGTCCAATATGAGAGGAGAAAAAGTCACTGGTCAGGTAATTTACAAGCTGCAATTGAACGAAATATGTTTAGCATAACCTTTATGGCAACCTTTGTAGAGAATCGAATGTTAATAGAATTTCGGTGACTTCAAAATAATTGAATAATATATTTAAATAATGTATTTGAATACAATTCAAGGACGCATACTTTTGAGTGAATTTACGATAATTTTACGATCCGGGTTTCCGTTCTTTATTCAGAGATTTCGAGATATCGAATCTTGGAAAATCCCGAAATATACTTGCGAAGGTCGAGCGAAAGATACGATAATAATTTGGAAATTTTTGTACAATCTTTATCTTTCGAGATGTTTAGATAAGAATTAAAAGTAGACTTCGTACGTGATACATTTAATCTTTGATGTTTCTAATATATGCACATACTTCAGAAGTGAAAGAATATTTAAAAATTTCAAAAGATTATTCCTATTTTGCGAATCGTGTTTTACAATTTGCAATTCATTCGACAATTTTCTTTCCACTCGCAATTTGCATCGTAAGAAACTAGAAGTTTCTTGGAGAATCCATTCCACGAGTGAATGCTAATGAGCGACAGTAATTGAAAAATGTTTCTGAATTATCTCGACTAAAAAGATAAAATAGTCCGCGTCGTAATCAGATCGCGCGAGAAACACGCGCGGAAAGAGGAAGAGGAGAAGCGTGTTTTTAAACACATAAGATATCTACGCCTCTGCCCGATCTATCGCAATCTTAACGACGTTGTTAACATCTTCATTCGACGTTTCCCTTTCTTCACTGCACGGAAGAAACTGCGAATCGACTCGGCAAAAGAATTTACTCCCTCGCCAGGGATTAATTAGCAGTTTCTCTATATAAATTGCAAGCATTATAGCGTGTGGAGTACTCTCGCGTGTAACTACGGTGAAACTTAAGTCGCCTTAGTACGGCTAGTAAAGGTCTACAACTAGCTTCATGAAAAGACATGAATTGGAAGGAACGAAACACGCGATATCGCAGTAAAACTTTCAAGAAAGACGGAAATCGTGTGCAACGAGGGATTACGTGCGCCGACTGTATGCATGAGATCACCATACACGAATATCTATGAAAACGGGATAGATATTTCCCGATTCGTGGAATTAGCAGATTAAATCCGCTCGATACGCCATTAACGTTCGAACGCGCTCGTTGGATCTGAACCGCGTGCGTTTAACGATCTTTGATCGATGTTGAAAGATCCATCGAAATCGTAGAGCGACAGTCGTTAATTGACACATTAACGAACCGCTCCCTGATGGAATTTTAAGTTACGCAATTTTTCCCTAATAGCATGACTTCATTAGAGTCGATGATATCCTTCTGACTCTATTAAGCCGAGATAACAGACGTTCGAATGATTTACGACGAGAAAGTCATTATATATCCGCTTTTTAAATTAATCTAATTAAAGAAAAGATTCGAAGATTTTGATAAAGAAATTTATATATTCCCACTTTCATTTACAATTACTATAATAATAGCAGTGCATCGATACAACTGGTGGGTTTAGATTGAAGCGAGTAGCAAGTTTGCAAACGTTCAAACAAATTGCGATGAGCTACTTATGACACTTACTTACGTGATGTATCGATGTTTAGCTAGTGGTAGCCTAAACGTTAATCCTCTAATGGATCAAGCGTAATTAACCCTTTGCGGTTGGGACTATAGTCACGCGAACGCGTATTCCGGGAAGACTATAGTTCATTTAGAGAATTCAATAGGAAGATAAGATAAGAAGAGGAGAAAATTTAGAGCAGAGTTCAAAGTGACCTACTATATCCACGATACGCAAGAAACATCCGGGTCCGTGAAAATGCTTGAGCCCCAAGATAGAGACTCATCTACGAAGGGTTAATCCACTAGTCATTCCCTTGCACAACGAGTCCATAGTTAGCAACGAGATACGTACGCTAATTGCAACATTGTGCCGGGACGTGGCACAGTCGATGGCGTCAGCCGTAAACGTTAATCGACTTTATCGAACATAGCGATCTACCCAGCGGCTGATAATGTCAGTCGAAGAGAATCGCGCGAATTTCTTCCCGGAAGGAACGTAACGAGAATGAAGCGGCTGCGAACGATGACGCTTGACATGCAAGAATATCAAACTAATCTCCGGCTCCATTGTTTCATCGACTCAAGAAGAGAGAAGCGTTTTCTTCCGTTTGCCAACCAACGACTCGAAAAATTTCTTCGTTGAAAAGTTACACCGACATTTCGAGATTGATCGATTGGTCCAAACCGGTCCCGTATAAATCATAAGCATTCTCGGCAGCGAGATGTGTATACTCGCAAATCGAAATTCCCTTTGCACTGCACACACAGCGATGGAAGATAGGAGACGAAGAAAAATGAAGCGATCGTTACGGTTAGGTTCGCGCATAAAACAGTCGCGCCTCCATGCCCAACGACGGCGCGAGCCGGTACTTGCCCAAGATGGCGGGACGTGGAGAGAGAGACGCAAGTTACCGAGGTGGACTTCGGTTTTCTCGCGCGTATCCACTTACGACGGATTACGAACGAAACCGTTACACGCTTACTCGCGCCGCTGTCTTCCTCTCGCTTTCGTTCTCCATCCACTCCCGTTTTCTTTATCGACGATCGAGATCTCGTTTCACGGCGCTACCTCGGAAAAGTGGGATCCTTTCCAAGGGTCCAGCTGCCTCGCTGCCAGAACAGCCACGCTCTATGGCTTAGTCGGCCTGGTTTTTTCTTCTCTAATCGCTTCTCAGACTACCATGCACGTTTGGAGGCTAGACGTTTATTGAATCTGCTATTCTATTACTCCATTTGAATAGATTGCGCGTTCAACTAGGCTACCGGTTGAGAAACCGAAACGCAGGTCCTCTTACGATTAATCCACGAATGATACCGTTGCAGTTCCTCTCGGAGTATCTTTTACGGTAATTTTTCGTTCATTTTATCAAGAATCCGATGAACTTAGAGATATCCTGATTCCTCGCCAATTTTGACCAGTTTGGAAACATAGGTTAGGAAGATCCATATTGCGAACATCGTTTCCCACTGTCGATTATAGACCTTAAGGTCGACCTTAACTTCCTCAGCTAGACCTAAGGCAGACCTTAACTTAGAGGAATTCTAATACTATCGATAAATCCACCAAAGTATCCCTGATCGTTAGACTACCTTTTGTTCATTTGCAGACAGAGTCGAAGACCAGGATCGTAAAGGAGTGCTGCGATGGCTACGAAATGGCTTCGCCCAGCGACGAGGAGGACATCAGGTGCGTGCCCTCTTGCGAAAAATGCCTGTCAGGGGTTTGCGTCTCGCCGAATCGATGTCAGTGTATTCCCGGCTACCAGGGTGACAGCTGTGACACCGGTGAGTCCTGCCAAACTTTCTTCGTTAATCGCGAAGAGAGTACAGAGCTTAGAAAAATCTCAGGAACCCAAACCGATAAATTCTCCATCAGATCCGACTGATCTACCGCGTTGTTTCGCGTTGTACCAACCATCGGACAAGCTTAGCGGATCTCGAAGCGAAGAAAAGTGCGAAACTCCTTAAGCAGGGCGGATATATTTCACGCTCGATGAAACAGACCGACCTTCCGTGATCGCAGGAACGCGTGCGAGCAGCCTGTAATTTTCACCTGAGCGCTCCGTTACGATTCTGAAATCGGTCATTCGATATCCCACCTTCCTTTATTTTTTCTTTATTTTTCCACCAGCCGCTACTCGCGTTAACGCCGCGCACGCGTCGAGTATCGGTTTCCCGAGAAAACGGAAAAGTAATCGTGGTTGCGCCATTCGCGTGAGTCTGGAGGAAGGAATCAAAGCTTCGCGGTATAATCGCTAATGAGAGGCACGATTCACGAGAGTCCGTTCCATTTTGTTCGCAGTGTGTCCGCCGGGCACGTGGGGCACCCATTGCAGAGAGAAGTGCAACTGCAGCAGCGAGGACGTAGCTTGCGATCCCATAAATGGCCACTGCGTGACGTGTCCGACAGGATTACGTGGACAGATGTAAGACTACGTCCGTACATTCCTAGATACACGCTGTCTCCTAATGAACGACTTATACGATCAATGAAATCTGGGTTAAAAGAACGACTTTGGCTAACAATTTGAAGAAACGTCCCATTTTGAGGAAACTAGGGACGTTTCGCTTCATTGGACTATTCCCAAGTTTTATACGTGAACATAGTCCTTGGGGTTTTACTTTAATTTTATGAATCAGTGTTGGGAATTTCGGGAAGAAAATCCAAACGATTAGCGTACAGGGAAGTAACCGTACTCAGTTGTACAGCAATTGACAAAGAAAACCGAGAGTCTTTATCACACCACTTGGGTCACAATACGTAAGCGATCTGCACTGTTCCGGATTTGAGAGTGAGAAGACCTAGAGACAGCAGGTCCTTTTAAACCCCAAAAACTGACCCCTTGATGCCTGCATAGTATCTTGAGGTCCAAGGTAGGTATTGGCCTGCACCATCGTTGCATAGGCGTAGCTAATTTACAACGATTAGGAAAATTGTGGAAATGAAATTGGATTTCGCATAGCGTTCTCTTTATCAACCAAGTGTTGAATACGATTTGGACCGACTGATTTTGAATACACACGATTATTTTATATTAATTTTGCCAAAAGTAGCTGCGACATGAAGAGCCCGAGTTGTTTTCACTCGTTCGACATTTGCAGGGTTAATCAAATAATAATTAACCTTCCTCTATAACTGGTGTGCGTAATTAGCACGCGCTTAAATGCGGTAATTGCGATGAAAAACCGGAATAACTCTCGGGGAAATAATTGCGACGGATAAAAACTGGAGTGATTCTCGGGAGAATAATGTGGTTGCAGAGAAAAAGGAAAGGAGGACTATCCTTCTCGGGTTGGCTCAACAAGTTCCATTGATTTCTAACGCGTCGCGTTTATCGCGGAATTACATAAACACACTGCACAACCTGTTGATTGAAACACGCCTAATGAGTGCTCCGATAATGAACACCGTGGCGCTACGTTTGCCTCGCGTGGCATACGTAATTACCGTTTTCACCTGCAGGTGCAGTGAGCCGTGTCCGAGCGACCGTTGGGGCCCGGGATGCGCGTTTCCATGTGACTGCGGGGTACCGGCGAACGAATGTGACCCAGAAACTGGCCGCTGCATCGAGGATAAGAAAGTTCCCGTGGAGAACGCGAGCCATCCTGAAAAGGCCGAGGAGAACAGCGTGACTGTCAATTTCGCTGTCATACACCTCGACGGAGAGTCTTCGAGGATTTGGGAAACCACGGAGAACATGACCATAGGTAACAGACATGTCCAAGCAGAGATGTTTATTCGAGCGACGTAACTCTGTTGATCGAAAGTCGCGGACCTAAGTATACAACGTGGCAAATATTAGGACGTGTAGAAATTGACAGCAAATAGATAGACAGCTCGTGTAACGATCCGTTGTTTCGTTGGTGAACTGTTCCAAGATGGCCGCGAGACACTCGGCACCACGGATAATCCTGGGAAAACAACGAGTCCGGAAACCACGACTGTCTCGACTTCGAGTCTGACAGATGTCAGGACGAAAGCTCACAGGGAGGACAATCCGAGCACCACCAGGCCCGTGATCGTTTTGGTCTCCGTTCCGGATAGAAGGAGGAACTTGGATAAGGATAGAGGGAAATTCGTGATGAAGAACCCGTTCGCGAGACACGTCGATGACAATGACATAGGACCGCCGAAAATCGATTATGTCAAGAACATTCACACAGGTATGATCACGCGCGAAAGTACTTGAACGCTTACGAGATGACACTTCCATGCTCGGGAGATCTGTATTAAATTGAATTTTTCGTTTCTTTTTTAATTTTCTTTTGCCCGAGCATCGCTGTGACATCTTTGAATTTGACACAATTTAATAGAAGCTCGTCAACTTCCATCCAACAGAGGTTCCAGCACCCCCGATTCCCTTGGACATCGCCCTAATAGTGATAGCCCTGATCGTATCACTGGGAGTGACCTCGGTAGCCGTGGTGATGGTTCTCCACATGCGTGCGAAGCTGCTGGAAGCAGCCAGACTGTCAATCTACGAGGAACAGAAGAACCAGCAGAATTCGACCAAGATCTCGTCCATAGTGACCGGTACTCTTCCACGTGAGTAGCAACTCCTTCGCGAAATCCTCCTTTCTCGTTGCTCGGTGAAATCTGCCTGTCCTTGACCTCGATTTCGTCCACGTAATCCTATCTCGATGACCATCTCTTGATCCACGCTCCGACAGACCAAGCGTGGATTACTCGCGGAGAATTAGAACGGTATCCGGTAACGCGTTTTCCCTTTTCCTCGAAGGCCACTGCGTTCGATTCCTCGTCATCGCGTAAGCCACCGAGTAGAGCAACGTTATGCCAAGTGTGCGAGGGAAAAAAGAAAATTCACCGAATTTTCCAACCAACTCTAGAAACTCCCATTCGCCTGGTACCCCTGTTCGCCTCGACTCCTGACCCCAGAACTATGTCAACGATGGACAACGATGACCTGTCTAACTACGCCAATGGTGCAGCTACGATTGGACTTCGTATATCTGGCAATCTTCATGGCAAGTGGAATTAATCCGAAAATTAATTAAAATTCTGTAAATGAAGAAAATTAAGTAGAACCTCATTTCGTTCAGACCTGTCTATCGTGACGATCCTGTTTTCTAGGTCTCCTGCAAGAGGACCACTACGACCGACCCCCAGCAACGCGTCTTCACCTGCAAAGCGACTTCGACGCGAACATGGAGCACGTCTACGACGAAATTCCCCTGCAATCGAGCCCTTTGAGTTCCCGCAAGAACGCGTGATGGGGGCCCGACGTCTGACATGTCTCTGCAGCCAGCAGCCACGCGAGCGTCTCGTTCGACAAAGGAGAGATCTACGAACGTGAGACAGACTGAGCTAGCCTGTGTCCCTTAGTCGAAGCATCTCTTAGTCGGCAAGGAACGAGAGTGTTAGACCGTCGTGTCAGGGGCGTTCGCGTGCCATTGTTAGAGAGTCACGCTCACGTGCGATTCCGGAGGCGGATGTGAGCGAGCCAGCTCGTCTACGGGACGAAGAAAAATCCGACTGGACTGGTTCCCGACCTTACGCAGGCTCGTCTAAGTGTGCAAGGCTGAGCGTGACTGCAATCGGCCATCGGCCAGGCAGCAAAACCACTGCGTCGTCGATTAAACTATCAGGGAGTGTACCCGCAAAGAGACTGTCCCTCGAACCCGTTCACATCGACGCCATCGAGCACCCTGGTAGCGTTTGCATCGAGTATCAACGCGCTGCACCGGTTTCCAACGTAGTAAACCGGATGGGTGTCTCGATGTCGTTCAAATATCGCAAAAGTTCCCTTGAAATTAGCCTAGCGAGCGGATATGGCTGGTGAACCTTGAGCATCTGCCTTCTGGCCGCCATTGTGAGGCCATTATAACGTATTAAGGACGTATGATATAACGAAATGTCGATTCGAATGAGATAGACTAATTATTTATAAGTATAGACGATAATGGAGAACGGGGAGACGTGGGTAGGTTAATTATAGTTCTTTAAGTATGCGATTTGGAATAGGCAATTAGCCCTTTGCTGCCGAATCTCGCGAGTGATAATATTTTACAAGCACTTCGGTGCATAATGTATATTTATTAGGGGTGCATCGGGTCGGGTTGGGTGCTCGAAAATTTCGAGATTCTCAAAAGAGTCAGGACTTTCAAAAATTCCGGGTACCCACTGAACATTTGTATCTCGCACACCCCTAGAATTTACGAAAAAATCTATTCAACCCAGTGAAAAGTACAGACGAAGAAGATCTCGAACGCAAAGGGTTCTAGGTAGATCTCCTGTCACAGATTACCAAAGATTATCGAGTTTATACCAAAGAGACTTGAAGCGTGATTCGATGTTTGCATCGAAGATTCTCTTATCTATACCGCGATTAGGCTTACTCCTTCACTTGCGCGCTCGCGTCACCGATAATAATAGATTCGTTACGAATTAGTGTCATGCGTCTAACGTTGCACTGACGTTCGGGAAGAAAGGAAAAAAGCGCGATAAGTCGTAATTAGGATAGCTAGTTTACATAATCGTGTTTGTGTCAGCGTTGTCTGATCCCGCCTTCGAGCGTCTCTGCGATAAACGAGATTTATCGCAATCGCTGCATTATCCGGACTTGTTTTCCAGCTCGACTTCCGACTCGGCCGTTTTTCACGAATATTTCGTAATTCCGAAGAATTTTCATTTCCCGCTCCTGTATCGAATCGCCGCGAGATAACGCGCGCGCGACTCGAAACGTCCAGTTTATCGTGCTTTAAAAATAGGACAGCGAAACGAGCATCTCGCTGTCCCTCGCGTTTCGTCGTTTTATCTCGTCCGTGCACTGCGCTGCATCCTCCACGATGGATCGGTATCGATGAATTACATAAACTGGGAATCGAGCCAATCGTCGCGAGCGAGAAATACTCGTGAAAATCGCCTAAGGGATCCTCGCGCGGTCGGCCGATAACGCGGTGGAATTGGAGAAAAACGAATGTCAATTGCTAGACATCGATTCGTAGCCGGAACCCGGAAGCGATGTGGCGCGTATCCGAGTACGATAAAGAACGGAGAGAGAGAGAAAAAGGGAAGCAGTTATCGAAACGATAGAAGCGTTCCAATGGCGTGGATGTCTTTGGAGTATCTGTGGGTGAAGGGAAAAAGCGGGAAATTCGCTGAATTTCGACACTACGGATGCTGTACATAAACACTTCTACGAAGAGCTACGCAATCGAAAACGATGGTGGCTGGCCGTGGTAAGAGATGTAATCCTGCGCGCAGAGAAAATAAGAAACCAGTTATCCATTGGCACTCGTGCATTCAACATGTTCCAAACGTTGTTCCTCTGCTCGGTTATTTCGGCGCTGCTGGTGTCCGGCGCCTCGGCGATCGACGGTGTGAAGGGCCATCGCGTTCACCATGATCGTCCGAACGCAGCCCTCAACAGCACCGTGCAGGCCGGCCTTTGCTACAAGAGGATACGGTGAGCGAAGACAAAGAGAAGCGGAGAATCCACTCGACGGATTATACTCCGCGTTAAACTCGCCGCGATGCAAATATACAAGCGTGACCTTTGACCCAGGTTATCGGTACAACGCGAGCACTCGTAAACTCTATATTTTTCTCTTCCAGCTACGCGGAGGCTTTGCAACTCAACTCCACGGGTCAATTCCCTCGTAATACCCTCCCCTCCACTCCGCAGGAAGGCACGGTAAATGCACATACACTTTGTCACTCACAGCGTTCCGAACAAGTACACGAACATGGGCGAAACGATGCAGGGTCTAAGTATCGCTCTAGAGATAAGCTTAACTCTCAAGGCTGTTCCATTATGGTTTCTGATCCTGAACGACCTTGCGAGATAAGTCGTTGAACTCGTTTCGGGAACGAGGTCAATCCTAAGCGCTGTCAAGTCATTTCGAGAGAGGGAAGAAATTTTCATATGTATGTTTCTCGGGTTTTCGTTAATAGAAAGGTGGATGGATCATGATTCTGGACTGCTGCGACGGCTACGAGAGGAACCCCACTTCCGGTGGCTGCGACGCCAACTGCGTCGAGGGTTGCCTCGGCGGGGAGTGCACAGCGCCGAACGTGTGCACCTGTTCGCCAGGCTGGGTCGCTCAGAAAGGCGTTTGCGTGCCGTACTGCGAGCAATCCTGTCAGAAAGACGCCTACTGCTTCTCCCCCAACGTGTGCACCTGCAAACTGGGCTTCGAGGAAGTGAACGGCGAGTGCAAGCCTATCTGTCCCGGTGGTTGCAGGAATGGCGAATGCGTGGCTCCGCGTGTCTGTAGATGCAGGGCGGGATACGTGATTCAACCTTCCCCCGAAACCAGCACAGGGATCGAGACCAAGGAATGCGTACCTGTCTGCGAAAATGGCTGTCGCAATGGAGAGTGCACTGCTCCTGGGGTGTGTACTTGTCGCGAAGGGTAAGTTGCTATGCGATACTTGGCGTTTCAAATACTCGCAGAGTGATAACTATACGAACGGTTGATCCTTTCAGATTCGTTAATCCCCTCGGTGACACAGAGTCCTGCATCCCCAACTGCCCTGCGGGTTGCATCAACGGCGAATGCGTGTCTCCAGGTGTCTGCCAATGTAACCCAGGCTTCGTCCTCGATGCGACCAATAAATGCGTCCCAGAGTGTCCTCAAGGTTGCGTGAATGGCGAATGCGTGGCCCCGAACGTTTGTAGATGTCAACCAGGATTCTCGCTCGATGCGACCAACAGATGCATGCCGGAATGTCCTCAAGGTTGCGCGAATGGCAGATGCGTCGCACCCAACACCTGCAGTTGTGAGCTAGGATTCACTCTGGACCCCACCAACAAGTGCGTCCCAGAGTGTGTAAAGGGTTGCATCAACGGCCAGTGCATCGCTCCAGAGGTGTGTCAATGTAAACCAGGCTTCACTCTCGATCCCACCAACAAGTGCGTTCCGGAATGCACGCAGGGTTGCGCGAACGGCGAATGCGTGGCACCCGGAATCTGCAGTTGCAATCCAGGCTACACGTTAGGAGACAACGACAGGTGTGTCCCAGATTGTCCGCAAGGCTGCAGCAATGGCGATTGCGTGGCTCCAGGCGTGTGCAACTGCAAATTAGGCTACACTCGCGACTCGAACGGCAGATGCGTTAGTATGAGACCGGAATCGAACGTCGCTGACTGTCAGTTCGACTGTGGTCCAAACGCCAGATGCGTCGGGCCGAACCAATGCGCTTGCAATCTAGGATTCAAGCTGGATCCAGACACCAGGAGATGCAAGCCGCTGTCAAACTCCTTCCAATGTAGAAACGGCTGCGGTATCCACGGTGTCTGCGTAGGTCCTGACATGTGTCTCTGCGACTACGGAATGGCCGTGGATCCTATCACCGGAAGGTGTCCCGATCCGGCAAACAGCCCACAGACTCAGCCACATTGCGAAAACGATTGCGGACCAAACGCCAGCTGCGTTGGCCCCAATCGTTGCGCCTGTAACACCGGATTCGTGGTCGATCCCGACCTCGGAAGGTGCATCCTCCAAACTGGCGAGCCTATCTGCGAGCTTCCCTGTCTGAACGGAGAGTGCACTGGTTTGAATCAGTGCACGTGCCATCGTGGCTACGCCATGAGTCCCAGCGACCTCACTCGAACGAGATGCATGCCTGTGTGCATCGGTGGATGTCACAATGGCGTCTGTACGGCGCCTAACTTGTGCATCTGCAAACCTGGCTACAGGAAATTTTCCCTTTCCCTCTTCGTCGTATGACGCTTTATCGTTGACATGTCCGGGCGCGAGCGAGCTGTGCATATTGAACTGTATGTCTGCGATTTACGTATGCGTGATGGCTGATAGCAGCGTCTCGATGGTCCCCATCGATCGCGTACAGCGTTCTTTAATCTTTGTACGATTGATTTGAAATAAAGAGGACATATACGGAAACAGCGCGACGAGCTTTTCAGAATTCCCAATGATTATTCGAGTAGAGATAGCGACGCTTAACATCCTGTTTCGCTTCTGATACTCGCAGGACATGGTTATATACGAGGACAGAGAGAAGCAGACGTCAGTAAAACACGATCTAGCGATCCATTGAGTCAGTTCAGTAGTACGTTCATTGATACCCTGCGAGACGCACCGCGATAAATCTGAAACATGACATTTCTCTACGTTCTGCTTCTCATTGTCTCTCTTAAGATAACCGAGACAACGATGTCCTCGTACGAGAAAGGTGTCTGCAGCGTGTTGGTCAGGTAAGTTGGTAAAAGTAAGAAGATTAAACGAAGATCGTTCCAATCCTTGTGAATTTCTCAGTTACAAAGAATCGAGGTACGTTCCCTATCAGGAGACCTATCAGACCAGGAAATGGGGAATCTTTTACAGAACGGAGAGTCGATGGAATTTCAAAAAGAAGGTAGGTCGTTAGAGTCATCGCGGAGAACGTTTATATCCGTTGCACGTTGAACCGATACATCGATCTTGCACCCTCGATCGAATTTTCCAGTATTACGTCACTTATCGTGCAGAGAAAAGGTGTTGCTACGGATACAAGCAAACGGTGAACGGCTGTGAGCCTATCTGCGATCCTCCTTGCTTGAATGGCCACTGTCTGATGCCCGGTCATTGCGCGTGCAACGAAGGCTACACCAAATCCATGCAAGACGTTTGCGAGCCGATTTGTTACAACTGCGTGAACGGAGAATGCGTGAAGCCAGATGTATGTCAGTGCGACGTGGGATACAAAATGAACGAGGACAACATCTGCGAAGCCGTCTGCGAGCAAAACTGCGAAGAGAAAAACGCGTACTGCTCCGCGCCGAACCAATGCACCTGCAAGCATAATTACAAGGCTGTGTATGATGTATGTAGTAAATCATTCGCGAGAAATCGATTAAATTGACAGTATGTAGCGCTTTGTCTGTATACATTTGAGGAAAAAGAATCGATCAGGTTACCCAGTTACTTTCTCATCGTGTACAGCTGAATGACAAAGGCCTATTCAACATCCAATGTTCATTTAACGTTGGTATAACTTCATCCTGTCTAATTCCATTCGCAGATCAACTCGGACACCGATCCTGAAATTTGCAAGCCGATCTGCATGTACGAATGCTCGAACGCGGAATGCACCGCGCCCAATATTTGCACCTGCAACGAGGGCTACCTGCCACATCCGCAAAATTCATTCGCTTGCGTACCCAAGTGCGAGTGCGAGTTTGGCATTTGCATAGCTCCGAACGTGTGTATCTGCAATCCTGGATACAAAATGAACGAGTATAACAACTGCGAGCCGATCTGCAGCGAGGAATGCGTGATGGGCAGTTGCATCGCGCCGGAAGTTTGCAGTTGCTACGATGGTTATGGGTTACTAGAGGACTCCAAGTACGTCTGTACACCTATCTGCGAGAGAGCTTGCCAGCACGGCAATTGTACGAAGCCCGGCGTTTGTACTTGTCACGATGGCTATCGGCAGACCGACGATGAAACAATGACGCACATCTGCACGCCATTTTGCGAAGAACCCTGCGAACCATACGGGATATGCACCGCACCCAACACCTGTATCTGTTTGAATGGTTACGAACTGGTCGATAAGAGTCAGAGAAACGTAAGTGGAAGAGGTGTATATCTATCAGAGATCTGACCAAGTCATGTTATATTAGCGTGTTACTCTTGTCTGATGCACCAAGTAGACACTTAGGCTACTCGAACGCGTGAAGAATAACAAACTTGACAGTCTCCCCCGCGCTCTCTTTTTATCCTAATCGCTTCTCCTCTAATCGGTACGACTATTGGTACTGACCTCACCCTCGAGAGATCCGACACTTTCACTGTTAAACGGTCACCATAGACCTGGCCTGTCTCAAGGCCTGGCTATAACAGTTTAGGCAAAGTGACGCTCTTTCTGTCAACCCCCTCTCGCGTCTAATAGCTTGAATCAAGCTACGGAAAACGTGACGTGAAACGATGCATGTTGTAGGATCCGCATTTCTTCTTCGGTGACTCGGTCTGCAAACCCATCTGCATGCAGGGCTGCGTGAACGGCTACTGCCGTTCACCGGGGGAATGCTACTGCCTCCCAGGCTACGAAACGTCCAGCTCAGGGCCCAACGTCTGCCAACCTTACTGCGAGACCACTTGCATCAATGGTCACTGCAGCGCTCCAAACACCTGCGAATGCGACCCAGGCTATCTACCTGCGACAGGCAATCCTGATGAATGTGTACCTTCCTGCGAGCATCCTTGTGAGAACGGTTACTGCAGCGCTCCCAACACGTGCACCTGTGACAACGGTTACCATCTGAACCCGGACAACTTGTTCGCGTGCGATCCTATGTGTACCGAAGAATGTCAATTTGGAACCTGTACTGCGCCCGATATGTGTACCTGTCATGATGGATACTCCTCGAGAAACGCGACCGTGTGCGAACCTGTCTGCTCGAAACCCTGTGTCAACGGCTTCTGCAGTGCTCCAGAGATCTGCAGCTGCAACTCGGGCTACAAACTGTCCGAGGACGATTCTAGCCACTGTAAACCTGTCTGCGCTCAGGACTGCGTCAATGGATTCTGCGTCGAGCCGAACAAATGCGAGTGTCAATCAGGCTACTGGTCACCTAACGACAATCCCGATATTTGTGACCCGATCTGCGAGTTAGGCTGCGCCCACGGACGCTGTAGTAATCCAAACGAGTGCGAGTGCAATGCCGGCTATCGATTATCGACGAGTAGATGGAACATTTGCGAGCCTGTCTGCGAGCAGCTCTGCGAGAACGGGTTTTGCAGTGCACCGAACAAGTGCAGTTGCAATCACGGTTTCAGACCGACGATGAAACAATGACGCACATCTGCACGCCATTTTGCGAAGAACCCTGCGAACCATACGGGATATGCACCGCACCCAACACCTGTATCTGTTTGAATGGTTACGAACTGGTCGATAAGAGTCAGAGAAACGTAAGTGGAAGAGGTGTATATCTATCAGAGATCTGACCAAGTCATGTTATATTAGCGTGTTACTCTTGTCTGATGCACCAAGTAGACACTTAGGCTACTCGAACGCGTGAAGAATAACAAACTTGACAGTCTCCCCCGCGCTCTCTTTTTATCCTAATCGCTTCTCCTCTAATCGGTACGACTATTGGTACTGACCTCACCCTCGAGAGATCCGACACTTTCACTGTTAAACGGTCACCATAGACCTGGCCTGTCTCAAGGCCTGGCTATAACAGTTTAGGCAAAGTGACGCTCTTTCTGTCAACCCCCTCTCGCGTCTAATAGCTTGAATCAAGCTACGGAAAACGTGACGTGAAACGATGCATGTTGTAGGATCCGCATTTCTTCTTCGGTGACTCGGTCTGCAAACCCATCTGCATGCAGGGCTGCGTGAACGGCTACTGCCGTTCACCGGGGGAATGCTACTGCCTCCCAGGCTACGAAACGTCCAGCTCAGGGCCCAACGTCTGCCAACCTTACTGCGAGACCACTTGCATCAATGGTCACTGCAGCGCTCCAAACACCTGCGAATGCGACCCAGGCTATCTACCTGCGACAGGCAATCCTGATGAATGTGTACCTTCCTGCGAGCATCCTTGTGAGAACGGTTACTGCAGCGCTCCCAACACGTGCACCTGTGACAACGGTTACCATCTGAACCCGGACAACTTGTTCGCGTGCGATCCTATGTGTACCGAAGAATGTCAATTTGGAACCTGTACTGCGCCCGATATGTGTACCTGTCATGATGGATACTCCTCGAGAAACGCGACCGTGTGCGAACCTGTCTGCTCGAAACCCTGTGTCAACGGCTTCTGCAGTGCTCCAGAGATCTGCAGCTGCAACTCGGGCTACAAACTGTCCGAGGACGATTCTAGCCACTGTAAACCTGTCTGCGCTCAGGACTGCGTCAATGGATTCTGCGTCGAGCCGAACAAATGCGAGTGTCAATCAGGCTACTGGTCACCTAACGACAATCCCGATATTTGTGACCCGATCTGCGAGTTAGGCTGCGCCCACGGACGCTGTAGTAATCCAAACGAGTGCGAGTGCAATGCCGGCTATCGATTATCGACGAGTAGATGGAACATTTGCGAGCCTGTCTGCGAGCAGCTCTGCGAGAACGGGTTTTGCAGTGCACCGAACAAGTGCAGTTGCAATCACGGTTACACTCCGTCGCAGAGCTCCCCGAACGTTTGTGATCCCGTATGCAGCAAATCGTGCAGTGACAATGGGATCTGCTCTGCACCAGACGTCTGCGTGTGCAAGGAAGGTTACAAATCGATGGAAAACGTAGCTGCGTTCGACTGTGAGCCTATCTGCGAATTCGACTGCGGGAATGGTACTTGCACGTTTCCAAACGAGTGCACCTGTTACACTGGCTACGCGAAAGATGGAGAGGGTAGCTGTGTACCCTTCTGCGAGTCCTGCGACAATGGGACCTGCGTGGAGCCAGGGGTCTGCGAGTGTAACGATGGTTTCGTCTCGGTCCCACGTGGAAATGAAAGCTTCTGTAAACCGTACTGCGAAAATTGCACCAATGGAGAGTGCGTAGCACCCGGTAACTGCCAATGCAATGTTGGCTACGTGAAAGAGGATAATGGTAATGCCATTGAAGGCAGCGACTGCGTCAGCGCGTGTAAGGATGGTTGCCACCACCGTGGAGTTTGCGATGTCGAGGACAGGATGTGCAGTTGTTATTACGGATGGAGCGGGATGTCCTGCGAGGAAGCACAATTTTGTGTCGCGAAGATAGACAACAGGATCGATCGTTTAAACATGTAAATATCGAGGATCCCGTAGGTTCGTATCACCGTGCATTCCTGTAACTTTCCTCTTGCAGATCTATCCGCTACGACATGAACGACGAGATTGGTTACGTGATCGCAAACAGCCCCCTGTGTCACCACGATTGTGTGGACGATGTCAATAACGAAACGTTTTGCTTCGGAAGACTTAGGATGGACAACGAGGAAAATGACACGATCACCTGTCTTATCGGCACAGGTATGGAGTTAGTACTAACAAGGAAGGTTTCCGAGCTGTTCGATTCTATATACGAAATTCCTTTATCTCGTGTTGACAGGTCCCTATTTTATTAATCGAATGACAGCCGAAAATAAATTTCTAAGCGGTTAATACTCGTAAAAATATTTGACCCACGTGATTTCTTTTTTTTCTTTTTTTTTTGAAAATTGTCCATATGTGGGCGATGAAAATAAGCGAATTAATTAGTTATAAAATATCAATTTTGATTTTTCCTACGCCGAATAGTTTGTCCACTTATTGTCCACTTGAAGGGCCATTTACAGGTAAAAGGAAATCTTGGTGAAAAATTCTTTCGTAAATTTGATCGAAATCGATCATGCGATCGTATCAACATTTGCAAAACCTTCCTTGTACGTATACGAAAGAAGATCTCGATACGTGGAGTCACGATTTTTCATGCGTTTTCGTAGATTCTAAATGCCATCGAGTGTATGCGGGACACGTGCTAGATCTAAATTACAGTACAATGGCTGGAATCGGGGGTGCTACGACGATCATAGCCGGTACCTCTGCTGTGATCTACGCACTGGCGCGAAAAGGAAGAAAGAGGAGATATTCGCCGGGTAATTGATATTTCGTTGCACGAAAAAGTCTAAAACGTCGCGAAAATTGACACGTCGAACGTTTACAAACGCAGATAGCGAGTCAGTCACGTCGATGCAGGGACAAACATACACAGATAGCGAGTCAGTCACGTCGATGCAGGGACACACCATGCTGCTATCCGAGGAGGACAACAACCTCTAACTGGAAGACAAGCCTCGTCCATGGTTTCTGCGTTGAATTATAATAAATTATCGTCGTTGTAATATTAAATAAAAAGGAAATCCAGAAAACCGGCTATATATACACACTCGTTTCCGCACAACCGTATCCGCCAATCGAAATTCTATTTGGCTGCCTTGACGTGACTTTCTAGAGAAAAAACTATCGGACCTCTAACGATATCGAGCATCCTGTCTCGTGTAGATAACGCGATATACGAGGCTGCAAGGAGATAAATAAACGAAAGCTGATATATATACTACGACAGTCCGTGGAGAGCATCAATTCGAGCTGTAGAATACTGAATCGTTTGTACGGACGAGCGGACGGAAAATATGAGAATTGTTGGCAGTATCGTCTTCATAAACACGATCCTAGTGATGGAAGTACTGCTGTTGGGGACCAACGAAGACGGATCAGTTTGCAGCGTGGTCGTGAGGTAACTTAGGAACGTGTTCTCGCGTGTCGAGGATTGCACGGTGAAACGAAAAATAACCCTACTGTTTCAGCCGAAGGGAGTCGCGATACGTGCCGTACAGAGAACGGTACAAGGACATATACTGGAACTTCGAAATAGTAAAGACCAGGTTCAACTACAGGATCGAAGTAAGAAACAACAGATGTTCGAGATGACAGTAAAGTAACGCAATCTTAGACTCTGGTCGTTTGAACCAAGCCGACGGTTCATTCCGCCAAGTGCAACGATGATAGCAATCGAGTTTCGCGTAATTTGACACCTGCTTTAACTCCCGGGTTGCGTTACTTTCTTGCCGTTTCACGTTCGTACATACCACCCTCACGAATCTCCAATTGTAGCACTTCATCGTCACGGAAACGGAGAAGAGATGCTGCGTCGGCTACAAGGCGCAGAACGGCATCTGCGTACCAATGTGTTCGGATCAGTGCGAGAACGGGAAATGCACGAAACCGAACACGTGCGAATGCGACGAAGGATATCAACCGTCGAGTGACCCGGCGAAGAAGGCACACGTCTGCGAACCAGTGTGCAAGGGCTATTGCCAGAACGGTGTTTGCATATTACCCGATATGTGCGTATGCAACCCCGGCTACCAGACCGAGAATTACCTCCACTGTCGGCCAATTTGCCACGAGGACTGCGAGAAACGTAACGCGTACTGCGCGAGAGCGAACCAATGCGTGTGCAAACCAGGCTATCAGTCGGACGACTCCAATGCCGAGGACAGCAATCGCACCCTGTGCACGCCGATCTGTGGAACGCGATGCGTGAACGGAAAGTGCACGGCGCCGGACGTTTGTACCTGTCACGATGGCTACAAACCGAGCAGCGACGAGACGATGAAGCACGTGTGCGAGCCATTTTGCGAGAAACCCTGCGTGAACGGCTCCTGCACAGCGCCTGGAGTATGCAACTGCACCGACGGCTACTGGCTGAACGGGACCAAGGAGGAACAAGCGTGCGTGCCATTTTGTCGAGTCCCGTGCGAGCCTCATGGCCGCTGCGTGGCACCCGACACCTGCAGTTGCTTCCACGGCTATCGAACGATCGACACCAGTGTCAAAGAGAACGAAGTGAGTGACGCTGTAAGCTTCCAACTCGTGCTTTACTATCTGTACTCCGTTCAACGTGAATTCCCTGGGAATATAAACAAACGGTCACGTGATTGACGCTACCGACGTATATAAGTGGCTATTGAATGTCAATGCCCAGGTTGGACTTTTAGAAGGCCTAAGTAGGGCTCCTGCTTACAAGGCAAGCAAAATTTTCCTCGAAATACTCGATCTAGTGTTGCGTCCGAACCTTCTACGTTCACCCTCAAAGACCCCTAGGTTCATCCCTAGACTCGGTCCTTCGGTCTTTGAGAGTGAATGTAGAAAATAGGCATATGAAGTTCGGGTTTCTCGATGGAATGAATTCGGGATAATTGTCTGTTCGTCTATTGAGGATTTTCACATTGAGGCTAGATGTCCGCCAGTCGTGTGACGCTGATAATAAACGAATAAACCGAATTGAATACCCGAATCAGCTCGGACTCTGATACAATGTTTCGGTCCTAGTCTGATCGAGCGTTGCTCACGTGCAGCTGTTCGTATTTCCTATGGATTCTCGTTGAACGAAGTAAGTACAAGACACAGGGGTGGTTTCTAAGATTCTTCGTAAACCTACGTAGATACCCAGCAACGTCACGGACGAGCACGCGTCAGCCTGTGAGCCAGTCTGCGAGCAGAGTTGCGCGAATGGCAGATGCACGGAGCCTAACGTTTGCACCTGCGACGAGGGCTACGTGAAAGATGCGAAAGGTTCGTGCAAACCGTCCTGCTCTTCCTGCGTCAACGGAACTTGCATCGCGCCGATGAAATGCCAGTGTCTGCAGGGTTTCGTCCAGTCGAACGAGTCCGTCTGTGCGCCATACTGTGAAAATGGCTGTGAAAATGGAGAGTGCGTGGCACCGAACGATTGCCGGTGCCTCACCGGGTTCCAAATGAATCGAAGCAACAGTACCTGCGTTAAATCCTGCACACGCGCGTGCAAAGGCCACGGGATCTGCGTGGAGGACGAGAAACCCTGCGAATGTTCTTACGGATGGACAGGCTGGGACTGCGATCAACCCACTGTGTGCATTCTGTTGATAGACGTCGATGACAAAAGTCTGGCTGGGTAAGTACGTCGACGATGCCCGGAATGTTAAAGATCCTCATGGAGTAATATTCCGCAGACTCACGGTCCATAACGAGACGAACAGCACGCTAATCGATGCCAAACGTTACACGCCGTACTGCTATCAGTGCAAGGAGACGGTTGACAATACGAGTTTCTGCTTCTCCATAAGTTCCGACGACAGTCCATCGACGATTGGCTGCTTCGTCGAGACAGGTATGGGTGTTTTTAATACAACTACGAAGGCCGTCACGTGTATCGGGTAATTCCGTCTCATTTCCAGAGTCGCCGTGCTATCTGATGTATCACAGCAGCACCGACGCAGTGTCCAGGATGGCCGGGACATTAGCAGCCGTGACGATTTTAATAATGGCGGCCGCCACCGCAGCGACGTACTTCGTAATCCGCAGACACCAGAAGTGTAAGCCACGCGGAGCTATTGAAAGAAAAGTCACGTGATACTCATGGGAAATTATGTAAGATACCGCGTCTCGAAAATATATAGAAAATGGCCGGAAACTCGGTGCGAGATAAACTTGGCGCCACATTTCCGTTCTCAGCTGTCGCTATTCGAACGATAAAACTGCTAGCTTTACGTTAACGATAAACAACGCGATTTCATCGTACAATTTCCTACGCAATGTGCCACGCGCGATTATCGGGGATACGAAGCTATCGAGAACAAAGCTGTATCATCGCGACTTTTCTTTATTTCGCTGAGGAACGAGATCGAAGCAGAGACTAAACGAGACGCCATCTCTTTTCACAGCTATCGCGCAGTCCGCGCTGTTCCAGGGGTCTGTGGCGAACGAGTCCCTCATCTCTAACGAGGATGGACACGTAACGTCGTGCACGTTGAATTTACACGTGCAGAACGAGAACGAGCTGGAATGACGAGGCCCTGTCGATACCGAGACTGGGCTGTTCTTCCGTCGCACTTTCGGGGGTTAACGAGGTGCACGATACTCCATCATCTCGAGAAGCGAATCCTCTAGATGAGCATCGATACTCTATACTTTGTATAAAATATACCGAAAGATTTTACAACTATACTTCTCGAAGTATCCTAGAATAGAAGCCAAACGACTACTCCCGGCGCGACTCGCGGACCTCCATTACCCCTTCCACGCAGCCACGACGTGACGAAATCAACGTAGAACCATTTTCCCAATCTGACATTCCATCCCTCGCGAAAACTACCCCCGAGCGAGAAGCAGAACCGTCTCGATGTACATACGCGCGGATGTGGAGGTGAGAAAGCACGAAGGAAGAAACGATCCGTCCCTTCCAGATGCATCGAGAAGGTCCACCCGTAGAACCGAGGGCGAATAACAATGGCGAAAACTAGCCGGAACGGGGCACTCCGGACTGGAGCCGTAGATCGGCTGACGCGATCGCATACGCGTAATTCGGATCGGGTTGGTTTCAAGGTAGCCGGCTGGAAAGGTAACAAAGCAATAATCCTTCACCCCCTGGTGGCTGGAGGTTGGGCAACGAGAGGACGGAGCAGCCCTGATCTCGATCGACGCGGCACGAAGGGAGGAAAAGGAAGGGGTCAACGGGTGGCATCGCGCAGCTGCAGTGGCGGTGGTCGACCGGCTAACGGAAGGAAGGCGTCAGTGAACGGGGGAGCACGGAACGGAGAACGCGGTGGTACTCTGCCGACAGTGAGACAGTCGCCGTTGGCCGTGCTACTGGCTACGAGTCAGGCCACCGCCGCGTGTACAAAATCGTCGCAGTGGTGGAGAGGCGAGCTGGTGCGGTGGCCACGGTGTTTTACGGACGGCTCCACGCGATATAAGGCGCTTGTCAGAGGCATCGTGGGCGAGAGGGCGTGCAGGAGGGCGGGAGGGGGGGAGGACAGGCGACGGGGAAGGATGTCGATGCGCCGCCGGTGGTCGGTTTCGGGGGTTGACTCGCGCCGCGGGGGCGATGAGCGCACTTCCCTCCGCCCTGAGACTGACCTGCTGCCGTTCCTGGCTCCTGCTGATCTGCCTCGTCTTCCTGGTGTCCGGCTGCAGCTGCGACACGCGCCCGGATCGCCTGACCCGCGAACTACTGGCAGGTGATGACGTGCGCGGCTCCAGCTACGACGACGACGACGCCGACGACGACGTCTATGACGACCGGGACTACCTCGAGGAGAACATCACTGCGGGTGAGTGTTGCGCTGATCCCGTGGACCACGAGATGGATACTGGCTCAGCTGAAACCGAGGAGGCTTGGACTCCGATGGACGCCGTTGATCGTACGCCCGGTGAGACTAACGGTGACAATGGTGGTAGAAGGATTCGGGTTAGTTGCGAGTATATTGGGACCAGAGGTGTGGTGCAGCTAGGCGGAAGAGGTGGAGCAAGTGGAACGGAGGAGGTGTGCAGTAGGTTCGAGTAGAATGTACCCGAGTAACGGGGACAAGTGAAGGGTTGGGGATGTTTCCGATGGATAGAGTATAGGAACGTGGATTCGTCGTATCGGATCAGATAGATTGTCGTACCAGTCGGAGGATCGAGGAAATTTCGTATCGAATTTAGAATTTGCGTCCTGGATCGATACGCTCCTCATCGAGTAATCGTTATGTTATTCTCTCGCGAAACAAGGACGATCGAAGAAACGCGTGTGCCTCGAGATTCTTGCCTCGCCTTCCTCGCGCCTGCTCGATACGAGCGTGCAAACACTCCGCTCCAGAATCTTCAGCTAGGAAGCAAACACTTGTTACCGTCATTGTTATCGTCATCTAGACGTTTCACCTTTGTCGGACGATAAGTAGTCCTCGTCTAGCTCATTAAATCCAACGAGCAGGCAGAGATAAATGTTACGAAACGCTACATAGCCCAATAGGATATTCTCTCTCTCTCTCTCTCTCTCTCTCTCTCTCTCTCTCTCTCTCTCTCTCTCTCTCTCGACCTTTATCCCGTCTCGTTGAATTTTCCCGTCTCGTACGAAATTTCCTCGCACCCACGAGCAATTCCAATCCCAACGTCGTCACGATGTAATCGTTATTCGTGCGGGATCGAGGTCGAATAAATTCCAGGGAAATAAAAACAAATATTACGCGTCGAAATTCGCGAGTGCGCCTGCGCTCACGTACACGGGAGAGAAGCTCGTCCTTCTTGATTTTCGCGCCAACCACGCTGCCGGTATTGATTTTAATGGATGCTGCAAGCTCTCGCTGCCTGCATGTGGGAGTTTGCACACCGCCTGCAGCTGCGTGAGATTTCAAAGAGATCTCTATTTCTCCCTCTTCCCGGCCCTTCTCCCCGTCACCCCGCGTACACAACGTCGACAAGGAGGAAAACGAGAACGAGAAAAAGGTTAAAGAAGAGAATATCGTGCGTCATTCACCCCTGTTTCCTTGCCTACCCATTCACCGGAAAGCTTCACCGCTCTCTCTCTCTCTCTCTCTCTCTCTCTCTGGAGGAGCTCGATGAGCCCGAGCCGAGAAACATCGGCGAATCGCAGCCTAATGATCGCGCCGTGAACTTCCTGAATCAGGTCAAAAAGCATAATTCTGCGTGCTCTATTATTCACGTGACGCAGCCCCTGCACGACCACCACCCATTCATCCGCAGTTCGAACGATCGATCGATCAGTGCTACACGAGTTCCGGACTTAACGCCTGAACCCTACTTCCAGGCGAACGCTCGTGCACAAGATGTTCCTCGTCGCACGAGCAGCCGACCTCGCTGGAAGGTTAATTAGGGTACAAGGGAAGGACGTGACACACTGTCGCGGTTCTGTGTACGTTCCTGAACGTTTGCCAACGAATCTGTTCGCCGTCAGGGTCCCTCCTCGAATGTGGCCCACACGCCATGAGACGTTTAATAACGATATAACGCGATAATTAAGGGGAAATCGATAGTTGTCTGGCTCGATGCCCGAGCCATGTAACCAGATGCAAATGGCGCAATTATCTCGCGGAAACTTGGCCTTGTTAATTTCCCACGGACGGACGAAAACAGGTTCGACTATCGGCTCGATAAAACTGTTTAACCCGATTTATCTGTCTGATAAAACTGCCCACCTTGGCTGGACATGGCCGAGGGGACAGCTCGATGTCTCGCGCGTAACGTCATTGGAAAATCGACGAAGCGAGAACGACGCGGTCTCGACGTCGTCTACAAAGGCCTACCAGATATCAAACATCTTTTGATGCGAGAAAGTGGCCTGGATAGAGTGTGTAACAATGCTTCTTTGCTTCATTAATCGTTCAGAATGTATGCGCATTCGTGGCTCGACAAACAGACGCCCGTGACAACGGGCCGTTGCTGCACGTCAAAGGGAGGACAAAGACGTGTATCGAGGCGAGGGAATAACAGTTGAAAGAGAGCGATGCCTTTATCGAAGAGCCAAGTATCCAGCGACAATAGTGAGAATAACCGAGAGAGCAACCCTCGAGTGGGATCCGTTCGCGAAAATATTTCGATACGAACTTTTCCTTCGATAAACTGTCCGGTACTTTCCCACGTCTCTGCAAGAGGGATACGTGTTCCATTTTTCAATCTCTCCACGAGCAAATCCGTGTCGATGCGGTTTTACGAGCTACATTCGTATTTTCGAGACATCAGTTTCTAAATTCTCCAATTCCTCGCCGCTTTTTCGAAATAATTTTGCAAATTGTTCCTACAATAAATTACTCGATTCTCAGAAGTGGTTTAGGAAACAGTTGGTAATCAATGGTGACCTATTGGGACCGGAAAGATTTTTAGTCAGGTCGCAAAGAGGTCCCACCCACGATTGCGGAGCCATCGTTTAAGCGGTTTAAAATTTTTAGATAATAATATTGGAATTTCCACGATAACGTGGTAAAATAAGTGGTTAATCGAAGTTAAACGATACGCGTGAAGAATGGTGATTAATGAAATTCCGAAGGATAGATGGGTAAGCCAGGTGGAACAATGGTGCTGCTAGAGGGGACAGCCTACATATTTCATCTACTATCGAGAAACGTCATAGATAATCTAGCATGCTATCGATCTTGCCTGTTTTCAGCAAAGGGGCAGTACCTGGGCTCGCCGTGCGATGTCTCGTGCAATCCGGAACTGCAGCACGTGTTCTGCGACACGGTCACTGGTTTCTGCGTGTGCGAGAAGTTCTATCCAGTTCGTCTTGGGCCTAGCAAAGGATGTGCCAAACGTACGTAGCCCGTTTTACACACGGATTCCGCGGTATTTCCCCGTTCAAGTAGGTCGTTCCGATAGCGAGAACTACGCGATAACGCGGACAAGCGAAGCGGAGAAAATAAATGTCCACCGGACGATTGTTCTGTCCGACGTGAAAGAACGTTTCAGGCGTTGCGTCGATTTCATCGGCTATACTCGGGAACACGCTGCAACTGCCAACGCCTAACTCTGACGCGTATTCCATCGAGCTGCGCGTAATATCAATTGCTCGTCTATTCGTAGCTCGTTCCCATTTTTCGTGCTTTTATCCAACGTCCCTCGGATCTATCGCGAACTAGAGCAACGTACAGCGGTTCGCGTCTATCGAAGCGTCTATCGAAAATCGACAGTCCAGTCTCGCGAATCGAGAGCGAGCATAGAAAACAGCCGAGAACTAAACGAGCAACCGGTTTTTCAGCTAAAAGACTCGGGGAGCAATGTTTCTATCGCGCGACTTGCACTTTTGCGGATCAGCACTCGACCTGCATCCAGGTGCAACACAATGCCGTGTGCGACTGCGAGGAAGGCTACCATAGGGTCGCCCTGTCCAGGCCAAGCAAGAAGGTGTTCTGCGCCGAAGGTACACCGTGCCAACTTATTGTCAGTCTCTTCGAAACACCGCTGAAATCCAATCGTATTCCAGTCCGCATGCATGAGACACCCCCGATCCATGACCTCCGTACACTCCAGTCTGTTTCCTTTAAAACGCTAGAATCGGGAATATAGACCGATCGCGTGCAAGCTGGTCTTTACCAACGTTTGTACACCTTGAGAGTACCTGAGCATCGAACTGAAGCGTTGCATCGTAATCTGTTGGCAGATCTGGGGCTGATAACGACGAATATTCCGACCCTGCTCTGCATAGCATCGGGAATAGCGGTATTCACGGCGATGATATGCTTCGTGCTCAAGTTATTCAGTCGTGCGAGATACTCAAGGCCACGGCACTATGCCAACGCCAATCACGCACCGCCCATGTTGTTCTCCAGCAACACGGGTGAGTACTCGCCTAAACGATCGTGATACGTAATAATCGACACTCGAGCAAACCGATTTCGCTGGAACGCGGCACCGATTCGCATCGATCCTCGAAACGATGCCTGTAATCATCGCGAGCGTACACTCGCAAACACTACACACCCTATATTCCATTAAGAAGCTACTCTCTAGCCGGCTGCGAAATCAATAACGTCTAAGTATCGATGAAGAACTTCGTCCCCTTCCGAAGACGTCTATTTTCGTTTCACCCTATTTCGCTCGACGGGGCCTTGAGGGGAATCCTAGAACGCGAGCAACTCTAACGATCGCTTAGATCAGTGCTGTCCACGGGTGAAGCCCGTGTTGCACGGCATTTTCGCTTCGCTCCAACGACCCTAGTATTTTATTAACCATACGTAGACGATAAAACGATACCTATCGATCGAAACTCTCAGGAGCTCTCGAACTCGAACCACACTGGACGTAAGCTAGCCCCGTTCTGTTCTAAGTTGCACAGATCGTCGACACGTGTGTCGCATATGCAGGAAGATCGAAATTCCTCGAAATGTCTCGTACCTTGAGAGAAGAAGATGGAGTAATCGAAACGATCCAACAGGTATCCCACTGACGCTTCACGGTGGACGACCGTCATCGCGTTCCAGTCAGAGGAGCAGCACCGGAGGACCGTTGAGCTACGCGTTCTCCAGGAGGCCTAGCAGCGGTGGTAGCCGTGGTCCACTGGTATCATCGTCGAGAGCAGGTGCGGCACGTGCCGCCGCCATCTTGCTTATATCGCGTAACCTGCAGACGACCAATGGCGGGAACAAGCATCGACGTACCCTTAGCGACGTTGCTGAGGGATCGTCCGACGGCCTCGGTAGACGATCAACGATCTCTTTCTAACTCTTTCGTTTTCTGTCTTCTATTCTCTCTGTTTCTGTCCGCATCTCTCACATCTCTGTACATCACCTGTGTGTCCGTTGTTACTCCCTTTCTATTTCTACTTTACTTCTTCTTCCTCTTCTTCTTCTTCTTCTTCTTCCTCTTCTTCTTCTACTTCTACTTCTACTTCTACTTCTACTTCTACTTCTTCTTCTTTTTCTTCTTCTTCTTCTTCTTCTTCTTCTTCTTCTTCGACTCGTTCGAATGTCCCGTTCGAATCGCCCCGTCCTTCTTTCTTCTTTCGTCATTCGTTTCTATTAGCAGAGTGGTTCGTGGGATTTGACGTAGACGACGAAACGCGAGTCGAACGCTTGGAAATAGGAGGATCGAGTCGAGCTGTTGTAGCTTTGGACTCGTGGCTGGCTACGTCAAACCACGGCAACCACTTCCCGTACTTATTCTACTTCGTTTCGTCCGTTTTCTATGGTTCCATCGTTAATATTATTTCTCTCCCTTCTTACGAACTTTTCTCACGTTCTGTCCTGCACAAGTCGCCTCTCGAGCGGGCGGCACCGATGACGAAGAAGAAGATGGTGGTGGTGCTTTGAGTCGTGCCATACCGTTGTCGCTGTTGTGTCGTAGTCGTTGTTATTGATATTTAGCACCCCCTATTCCAGCCCCCGGTGTTGCGTTTCCTGGATTTCTTTATTCGTCGTAGGCATGTGTCGGCTCCCACGCGACGATCTTTGATATACACCGAGAGAAGCAGTCGATATCTACGAAGCTTGGAGAAACGAGGGAAACGCAAAGCTCCGTTCACGTTTATCCTCCCGGACACGAACAGCCCACCCTTCTTTCTCTGTTGTCTTCCCACGGTTAGAATGTTGTTTCTTCC